TGTTAACTGGGGTGGGGTGGGCAGGGACCACGTGTTTTGTCTTTGGCGTTGGTATTGGTTTGAGAACCACCCGGGGTTGTCCCAATTCGTTGTCGTGGATACGTTGTACTTGGACTCTTTGGTTGAAGTCTTGACGTCTCCGGTTGATCCTAGGTCCTATTGCTTTGTTTGTTCCGGAAACCGTTTTGTTGGAAGATCGTTGGCCTCTTTGCTTTTCTGATCGTTGGTCTTCTTGTCTACCAATGCTTTGGTCTGTGTGGTGTTTGGTGTTGACGTGGTCTCCGTCTCTCGCTGTTTCTCTTGCTGAAACTTAACCCCTAAGCTTCTCCACGTCACTATGGGCTTAGCAATTTCAATGGCGATATGTGCGAAAGAATCGGAACTTGCTCAAAGGGACCGGGTAGTTAGGCAAAGATGTTCAGACGAGCCGTTGCACGTCGCAGGAGAAATACAAACTGCCGAGAATCCCCAAGCAACATATTATATATATAAGAGTATAAGATCTTTTGGAGTCAAAATTCAGGTTTTGAGCGCTTCAACATCATAAATGAAAGAAATATGTAAAGAGCACCATCTCTAATTTGCAGTTGCTTTTAGACAAAGAGAAAAAAACGTGGGCCGTCAGAGCCCCCGCGGGGATGTTTTTCTTATTTTAATGAGGGGCACGGTGGGACGAATCCCCGCTCAGTACTGGCCCGGTGCGGACAATGGTGACAACGGTGCGGGACTTGGTCTGGGTGCCAGAGGTGTCGGATGAAGTCAATGAAGTGGCAGTTTTCGCATAGTCTTTCTTGGCCATCCCATGAGACTAATGAGGAGTGGAGTATGGAATAAGCAAGGCATGAGCAAAAGGAGTGTGTCAACAATATATTATATATATATTCATATATACATTTACATATATAATATGTACATATATATTAGTTATATTAGATATGTTGTTCAATTTTTCCTTGCATGGTCAGTTTCATGTTTATATATACTTGTTCACCTTGTTTTGTAGCCTGAATCATAGGCCTTGGGGCTCGGAACCCTTGGAGCAGCTGAATTCGAAGGAAAACAATAGGCAAACAAACAAACAAACAAACATGAATCATTGAATTGAGGAGCGGATGATCAGTATGGACATCGATTTGAACACCAGAATAATAGTCTCCCTCACATGGCCTCGCTATAGTGGTGAGTGGTGCGTGATTTCAGGTTTTGAAGAGACAACAGTGGCTATATGGAGTGTTTAGTTCTTTGGCAACTCCTCTTTTGAGGCCTGTCAACAGACCAGCATAGGCTAGGCCCCTTTGCCATTCTGACGGTTGCCACCTGCACTGAGGCAACAGTAGCACCCTCAACGCCCAGGTGGGACCAAAGGACCATCTACTGCTTATAGCTAGACTCTCGGCGCCTTTTCAAAGCCGGATGCATAGCTGAACTGCTGCAGCACACACGACAAATCCTTTTATTACAAATTGATGCAAAACAAAAGAAGTCAGCGGGGTTTTGCCGACGCACGGAGACGCCGAACATGTGTGACCAGTCACCTTGCTGCATGGAGCTCCTTGATAGATCACAAAGACACATGCATGCATGTTGATGATTGGATGCACTAGCTGTTCGTTCCACCTGAGTTTCTGTTCAGTCTGCGATGGCAACAGTGAAAGGGTTGTTTTCAACCAGCACGCAAAATATACAGATCAGTGATACATAGCTATGTATCCAGCACCGAATTATCCAGCACTGATCAATTCCATCTAAAAAATCGATTTCAATCTGTTTTGTAAACCACCAAAGTCTCGGACTTGGGCCCGGAGTGAGGACGGGCTAGTCCGTCCAGTCGACATCAGTCGACCATGGCTGGTGAAACGTCTACCGTTCGCCAGGCAGATGCGAAATGGACAGGCCAGGGGTTTTCGGGACGAGCATGAAAAACGTTCCATATGTTTCAATGGGCAAGTGCCAAACTAGACATGGTATCTGCCGGATTCTTTTCCCATGTCAGGGGTTCAATGATGTTTGAATAGACAGACTACTAGGAACAAGAAGCTACTCGTAGCTCCTGGCATCGCTACCGGTAACAAAGGGCATCGCTACTAGGAGCAAGGACTTCTGATTGTTCCCTGTCACTTTCTTTAGATTTTTTTGCTATATATTTTGCTACACAACTCTCACATACATGCATTTGTCACACCGTGGAAGTCCGTCCCAGGTCGCGCGTGCGGTGAGTGCCAGCCCCACCGTGGGGCCGAGCCTGACCTGGTCCGGCCTCCGCCCGGTGGGGGGGCCAAAAGACGACGGGAACAGCTCGGCCCCGGAGCGACGCTTGATTCATCACATCACCCCAGGATTGAACAACCTCTTCATATGGAGGGTGTATGGTCCTCAAGAGTCGATCTATACATGGAGGGAGGATGGATTTGGAGATGGATTGATTCGGATTGATAAGGGCCTCAAAAGGAACTTGGAGGACAAAAACAACATATTGGTAGAGAACTTCAAGGCTCAGTGTTTCTCATGTTTCTCACCACTCGCCACGTGATGCATCAGGTCCCAGCGCGACACAGTTTGCAATCCAGGCTTGGCTGGGTGCATGGATTTCTTCCATCGCTTTCACATCTATTTCACACCTCACTAGGTCTCCCTCTGAGAAACATGCTCGGTCCAAGGTCCCACCTTTTGGGCCTCCAGAAAGAGGAGAACCGTTTGGCCACACGAAGAACGGATGGGGTGGGGGACCCAACCCCGGTGCTGCCCAGATGAAGAACTCGTCGCCGATCCGTCGAACCCGGTCGAACCTTGGGCGCCGTCAGGGCTCCATGTTCCCCGCTGGGCCGGGCGGCCCAGCTGGAGCGGCCTTGGGCTGGCGCGCGGTCACCAGGGTTAGGGCGTCCCTGAGGGTTCAGGGTAAACAGCCTTGGCCGGGTATCAGGTGGAGGGAAAAAAGGTGGAAGAAGTTGAAGAAACTAAAAGCTATATAGAGCTATTGTTTTTATGTTTTAGTTTTGGTTATGTTTTATGATTGACGGTATTATTGTAAAGACCAGTGCATACGGGCCGGGCCGTATCGCTGTATCGTCGATATAGGCGCACCTTCCGGCTGCTGGGGGCCTTCCATCGCTACGTTGGTGACCAGACTCTCAGGTACCTCTTGTTCCATCGCTGGCGCATGGCAGCGCACTGGAGGAGGATTGCACAGTTGTGGAACAAAGGGCAGTTGTGGAACAGCCCTGTGGTTTCTTCACTTCAACAAAGGAACACACAGAAAAGGATCGTGAGAACGTTTGAACAGGCTGGGCAAAAATGGGCAAAGCTTGCCTTTCCAAGGTGGGCGGAATCCCTCCGCCTTCCCTGTGACCGTTTGATCAAAAGCATCGGACCTTCCACGACTTGCACGTGACTCCACCAAGGCTCCTGCAGCTTAGCCTGGCAGAGCGACTTAAGGTGCGACTCTTTTCGGGAACACCCAGTCCCGAGGGAGGGCATCATGGGATGGGAAGGCTGGGGAATTGCGACTTCCAAAAGATTTTCAATCTTTGATGGATGAGAGGTCGTTCCTGCTTTGAGCACACAGCATTTTGGACGAAGAACATGGGAAGTAAGTACTACATAAAGTGTTGGCAATTGTTCACTATTTTCTCAAGATTATCGGTATGTCAGTAGATATCAGTAGGATGAAGCTCCATGAAAACATTTGGATACCACCTCCTGTAGCTGTACAGCTTGAAGTTGTCAGTTCTTTTGACCAGTTTTGATGCTTTTTGGTTTATATAATGGCCTGGAGAAGTGCTCTCATGTTGGCGACGCCATGAAGAGTACTTCAAATATGTGTATATCTATATATATATATGAATGGGAACACTGGTTTGGGAAGGTGAGACGCCCGTGTCTTTGTGTTTCACCCTCACAGCCAACTGACGTTCAAGGTAAACGGGAGTAGCATGAAACATTCAACATGTTTTTCTGTGTGACATGCAGATCAAGTACCCCGCTGGCGTAGGACCCTGGCGCTTTGTCTCCAGGTCCCCGCCTTTAGCTCGCTTGGCGACTCCGCGACAAAGGCCGTTGGGAAATCGCCGGTTTGCTTGGGGATGCCCAAGCGAATCGGCAGAGACAGATGAAGTCACCAGCGGTGAGAAGACACGACACTAAGATTTGCTGTGTGTAGTGTGTATTCAGTTGGTTCCGGGAGTGGGCTTGCAGATCGGTAGGAATTGAATGTGCTATTTGTCAAGGCGTGGTTTCTCACCTTGGTGGCAAATTGGTTGAACGAGGAAACTTGAGTCCTTGGCCCTGAGAGCAAGCAAAACTAATAGATCATAGCAGATGCACACAGATGCATCAAATCCAATACAGTTGCCTAAGATAATATGATGGTTCTTTGTGAATGAATTTCATGTTTTCCAGAGCACCGCCTAATGACTTCCACAAGTCCAAGTGGTGGTTTCTTCACCTGTTGCATGTCATGTCCACCGTTGGACAGCGAGAAAACAGGACACAAACTGTTGGACGGCAAGAAGCCTCGATGATGATGGAGGATTTAGTCCGGCAACAGAATCTTGCAAGAACTCAATAGATCACGCCCATGGGTATTGCAGTGTGACATTGGAACATATTGGAACAATCTCTTGTGCCAACGCAGTCCAGTGACCGTGTGGCAAGACCTTAGACCCAGAAACCTATTGAATTGCGATTCACATATGATGGTCCATCGGCATATTCCCTTGCATCTATCCAACAGAGCTTGACAATGAAGACTATGCACATCGAAGATTCTCCCATGTTTGGAGGGTTCATGCCGTGATGCCAGGGCGCCCTACGCGGTGACCGGCCCGGAGCTCTTTGTTTGTGCGAAGGGAGTATATAAGTTGATTGGGCAAGGCTCCTCTCAAGACATTCGTCATCTTCAGTGAGATAGCCGAGACCCTAGGAGATCCTCTTTGGTGTCCATGAACCATTGTATATTTAGGGATGTTTTCCATTGTGTCCATGAACCACCACTGCATGTCATTTCAGGAGGTTTGAGCTCATCCCAACACTTGGGTGCAGCATCCCGACATGTATTTCCATGGTAACTGTCCTCCGAAGCCTTTTCCGGTGAGTTCGGCCCGGCACGTCGCCCGGAATCGTTCGAACGAGACCCGACCCGACCCGACCCGAACCCCCAGAGACCCGACCGTCTCTGCGCGTACGAGACCCCTCTCCTAGGTCGTATGTGATGCGTCGCTGGCCAGAGACTGGCTGAGATCCGATTTCTGAGCGATTCGACAGAGCCGATCCAGATGTCTTCCACGGAAACCTCGAAAATATGAACTTCCAAAGGCCAGCCCGATGACACGTGTCGTTTGGGAGAGAGTTTATGGAAACGAGGGCGGGCACAACATGCGGAACAAGAGCAATGCCTCGTGGGTTGAGTGCCAACTTTTTCCCATGGATTCAGGGTTGAAAACATGTCCTTTTGCAAGAGTCAAAGCTCGAACATGTTTTCCTTCCATTCAAGAAACACGCCAGCCCCTTGCATGGGCTGAATTGCCATTGCACGAGCAAAGTTTTTTTCTTCAGCCCGTTGGCATGCTCAGTGAAAGCTTTGAGAGTATGGAGATGCAAAATCTGTTTCAGAGCAGGGAGGTGTGGGGCCCATGATCCTTGCGATTGCAATGCCCCAAGCAGCAGTTACAAAATCCATGTGCACACAGCTGAACAAGTTGGGAGTCACATGCCTCGTACAGATTCCATGCTGAAAGTGATAGCATTCATTTATATCGTTATTGTTTGGGATGCTAAGCTGCTAAGCTGCCTGGTTTCTTTATTGATGCCCTGGCCTTGCTGGCTTTGGGTTTGCATGTTGTGTTTTCTGCCTGGTTTCCTCATATGTATCAACATGCATTTTTGAAGTACTTCATCGTAGGCAGAGTCGTCGCAAGATTTTTCCACTCCACAGATTCATTGCGTCCTTGTCAGATGCCACTCGCTAGCTTCCTCCTCAAAGCCTCGAGCAGTCGCGTGCTACCTGGAGCAGTCACGCATATCCAGGTATCGAGAAGATCACACTTTTTTCTCTCATCACATGACATTTGTGTGTCTAATAAGCCCATCAACTCTCTGTCTTGCACACAGCACATCCGAAGAAGCGTTTTGTTTTTCTCAAATTGGCTGCCATCGCCAAAAGCACATAGAGCATGCAGACTGCATGTTGGCTGCCTTACAAAAGATGTTGTTATGCTTCAGTTTGCTTGTACTTGCCGTGCCTCTAACTTCTGTTTTGTTGGTGTGTGTGTATGTGTCCACCTCATTCTTTGTTGCAACATGACAAATTCATACGAATTCTGATTTGCAACCGAACTAGCCTTGGGCAGTTACTGATGGGGGAAGGGATTCGTGACGTAGAACAAGATGAGCCCATGGTCAACAGCTGAGAGCTGACAGGCTGAGTAATTCATGAAGTATTTGACTTATTCCTGCCCTTCCAGTGACCATGCAAGAACTTGGACGGCGTCTCGTTTCGGAATTCTGTTGAAACACCTGTGTGTTTTCACCATGTCATGTGAAGTCTCACACCTTCGTGTCCCGTCCCAGCTAAGCTGGTCACTGGAAGGGTAGGGTTGTCATTTGTCGCATGCCAAAAAGGAACCCAGCTGGAATTGGCTGCTGCTTCTCCCTACTGGCTACAGAGTGGGGGTAGGACGACTTGTTTTCAGGGAGAAAGCTATGGTCGTAGCGTACTGTCACACAAGACAAGCCAGCCATAGAAACTTTTTGATGGAGACACTCTCAAACGGAGTAGCAAGTGCAATGGAGTAGAGAGAGTGGTGTTGTGTTTCCTTTTAATGTGAGGTAGAATCGGCTGCAGATTGACAACACGCATGTGGCAAAAACTCCAATGAATTATGTATGTGAATTGCTCCACTGCAGCTGCGCAGCGCGAATCTGGGCCGACGGGGGCTGAGGTGTCCGCGCACAACTTGCGCAGAAGTTGGACTCTGACAGCTAAGAACAGACGTGTGAGGTCCCAACAGACGTGTGAGGTCCAACTTGTCCCAACTTCAGCCACCGAGGAGCAACCCAACTCCATCACTCTCGACCAAACAATCACACAACACCACCTTCCAATCCAAGGGCCTTTCTGCATGAAGTTGGTTCCAGAAACGACCCACGTCCTCCGCCGAACACGTCTTCCGGTGACGGACGAAGCACGTGAGGGGGACCGGTCCAATCCCATCAGAGTCCAAGTCGAAGACCGTGGAGCTCATCTGAAAGCGAAGTCCGTGGAGCTCGTCATGTCGGGCCCGCCTGGTGAGCCGGTTTGCGCGCTACGAGCCAGTTTTGGTATGAGGTTTTCACGCCGGGTAACACCGCAACAGACCCCAAAGGTTGAACATGGTGGAATATGTTTGAAATATATATAAATATATAAATATAATATGGATCCCAAGCAAATGATGTGATTCTTTTTCCCGGAGTTTTTCTCCTTCAACTGTACCCTTGGAGAATCAGGACTCTGACCTGCTCTGACATGCAGTCCCCCACGTGAAGAAGTTAGACAGCCCCAGATCTCTTCTTCGGGCACCTTCTTCCAAGATCACTTCGAGGGCTGCTCCAGAGTGGTTCGTGGATCCAGGACAATGCAAGTTTGCTTCGAGACAAAGCCAGATGGTTGAACAACCCATCGCAGTGCCCCACGGTGTCCCTGGGAACAACCATGGACAGATCCGGCTTCAGCAGAGATCTATCACCCCGTGTCGACGGATCGACCGAGCGGGTTTGGGTTTTGATCGACCGAGCGGCCGACAGCTGCGCTGTTACAGTTTCTAGTCAGGTTTTGCACCCTGAGTCTGAGGAATAGCCATTTGGAAGCCCTTGACTTGATCTTGTTGTGTGTTTTCCGTGTACTTTGGATGTTTTCCGCACAACAGGAGCCATGTTGCGTATAAACCAAACCATCAAGGCCTGGCAAAAGCCATCTATCTATCCTTTGTTTGGGAAGGCTCCTCGGCCGCTTCTCCGGATCTGAGGGCTCCTGGAGGCGCAACAACGCCCTTGGAGGTGCGCGCGCGCCTTTGTGGATGACTCAGGACACCCGGTTCTGTCGTCACAAAGCCTGCTCCAAAAAGTTGTCCCAGAAATAGATAGAACCCATAGAACAGTTTCCAATAGAGGTTTCAGGAGGGCTGTATAACTGTTCCATAGTCTGTTCCATCTATTTTGGCGGGCACCAATTCGGGCACTACGAAATTCCTATGTCCAAACGGGAGAAAGTGACTATTTTAGGTTGGGGCCAAGCTGTTTTGGCGATGCAAGTGGTTGGTGTTTCCATGATCAGCTGTGAGTGGAAAAGAGTGAATCTACATGCTGGCAAGGTTGGTAGGCTTGCATCTAATTGGATTTGGTCGTGTATGGCTGCCATTGGAGAACACAAGGCTGCCGGGCAAAAAAGACATAAGATTATCATATTGACCCAAGAACCACATGGTCTAGTGATGTCTTGTGATGTTTTGTTTTTTTTGTGCCATGGACTCTCTTCTCCGCCGCGGGAACTCCGCCGCGTTCGTTCTTTGCCGCAGGTCCTCGCTTTGGGTGCATCCCTGAAACCAGGTGGAGCACTGTGTCGTGAAGGATTTGAATATGACAGGGATGTCGAATTCACCTAGAGAGGTCCCCACTGGTCCCCATGTTTCCACAAAGAGTGGGACCTTTTTATCTTGAGCTCGACATTTGCCGAGCTGTTGGATGTAGATGTTTGATATTACTTCTGCGTGAAGGTTGTGAAAACCCTTGCTTGGGTTGCACAGGGATAGAGACCCACGGAAGCTCAGAAGCAGATGCTGCTGTGTATATAATATATAGATAGATAGATCCATGTTACCATGTTCTCATATTTTATCAGTTTGTTTTGAGGATTCTAGAGCAACTGCGTCGTGATTTCCTCGAGCGAGCGTCCATTTACAGTAAATAGATCCTGGGCTCCAGTAGATAGTCTTCTGATGAAGCCTGGGATGACCAGGGGAGTGGCAGCGCAGTTCATTTCCACGCAAGGTACTGTAGTGGCATGTTCCACCGGTTCCAAAGGCTCTTCTGCAAGCATTTGCAAGCCTGATATGTCACTCACTTCATACTAGTAGGGTAGAGTCTTTCCAATGTGGGTTGTGATGTTTCTTCAAGGTGGCTTTAACATACTGAGTTTTTTGTTTCTACTCGCTCTTGCTTTTTCTTGGCTAGCACCACGTGGAGGGCTTCACCCAGTGAACCCCTCCGTCGGATGCTCCGTCGGCCAGGGGCTGAACCCTGGAGGCCGTCGTGCATCGTCGTGCTATGGCGAGTCACAGTCATTGAATGTCATTGATTTGTTTGCCCAGTCTGAGGTGAACTCTTTCTTCTTAAAAGAGGGCGGCCCGCTGACTCACTTGTTGAAACTGAACTGAGTCACATGGGATTTAGTTCAATCATGGAGACCCTGCCATGAGTGTTCTTGGCCCTTCTTGCCCTCGGAAGTTGCCAGAAGCTTCTCATTTGGAGACACATCCCCAGTTGCCATCGCTCTTGGGGCCCACCCGGTGGCGACAGGAAGCTGGATGTGCATGGCAAACTCACCTCTAAGTTGAAGGCTGGTGACAAGTTCAGCGACTGAGAAGGTCTGAAGACGGATGACTGGGAACCATTCACTGAAGATTTGCCGTTGCAACCGATAGTTCTGGCCGAGCTAGCCGATTTGCGTCCCCTTATGTGTTGGGTTAAAGGATGTTAAAGGTCCTTCCTTCATGTTCCTTTGGTCAGTATTTACTCCCCTGCAGATTAACATGGAACCACTGGGTTGGTATTCAGGCGGGAGTGTATTTTGACTTCTCCAACATGGGGGAGCGACTTTGGAGGTTCCGCGAGCCTCGCGGGAGCGATTTTCACATGTCGCAAAATGAACATTCGACCAGCAAGAGGAAGCGGCTTTTTGTCTAATCCAAGATGATTTAACATTAAAGCAACCTGGAGTGATTTGATCGCTTTGAGATTCACCTTCTTGGTCATTCACAGCTAAAAGCGCAACAAAAAACCGCTTTAAGCCGTTCAGCGATTTTCGCATCACAGGGCCACTCAGCGTTTGGGTCGTTGCGACCGACATGGCCAGGCCAAGGCTCCGGAGTTCGTGCCCTCCGCGGCCGGGGGGGGGGGGGGGGGGCGAATGGCCTGTTCGGAATGGGAGGGGTGATGGAGACAAGGTCAGTTGTTCAGATTGATTTGATCTGTACAGTGGGTTCAGAGTAGATGGCACAATCCGCAAAAGGTGGTTTATATGGACCCCCATCTAAAGGACATTCTTGGGTTTGTGCCATCTACTCTGAAACTACCACGGTAATTTTTTGAGAAGAGGTGGTTCCATTTGTCCTTCAGGGTGATTGAGATTGTTGGTTTACGATCTCAATTCTGGGCTCTAATCATGGTGTTGGACTATGGTCTATGGTGAAACGATGTGAAACGGATCCAGCAAAGGATATCATCGATGTCGCATGTCCCATTATTGGTGTGCGTCCGATATGTTGCATTGTGATGCTGAGTTTCTGTGTATGTTTTATTGTTATTGTTATTTTTTAAAAATCTGATTTAACTTTGGCTGGTGGTCTACTCAGATAACTTTGCCGCAAAGGCTTTCCCTTGCCAAAGGATATTTTCAGGATGCTCTGAATATCCCCTATGTGCAGGCAGCCATCCCACCCCATGAAAGCTTGAACAAAGCTGCTGCCAGATCTTTAGCCTAACTAGTAAACAAGAAACAACTCAAAACAAGACTTGATAAAGAATAATCTAGAAGCAATGGCCTCCAACCTAATAGCGATGATACCGATACCGATACCCAGTTGCCTTGTTGCAGTATTTGTCACTCCCCAATTGTGAGTTTCTGAAGATAGATATGAAGACTAATGTTAATGACACACAAACATGTTTGTGCCATTCCAAGTCTTTGCCTGCGCGTGATTCGAAGCTACCAACTCGCAATGTCAAAGTGCTGCTGAAGCAAACAAAAGACATGCAGCAAGATGGAAACAACAAATCTGAAACATGCAAAGCTTGGAAGGTCTTTATCACAGCAAAGTCTCTCATCCGAACGTTTTCGTCCAACCTTTTGTCGGGCGCTTTTCGTTGGACGACCGTGTTTTGTCGAACGTTCGAAAGGTCCCGAGTTGGCCGGTTCTTCCGTAACGCATTGACTGCTGCAGGTCAAAGAAGAAGGCGTGGTGATGAGAGACGATATGATATGCCGCGATGAATTGAATTTGGGCAGTTATAGCAGGTTGCTTTCATGCAACTGTGGAACATGTGTTTAGGACGTTCCAAAGAATGGGGATCAGGACTTCATTTTCAGGAGTGCATATGTTTCGTCACGGAATCTTGCGGGTACAAGCAGCACACGACTGCTCGACACTACACGACTACACGACGAATGCTAAGTGGAGTTCACCACCCCATGGGGGATGTCCAGCTGTTGGGCACAGACCTAAACGGTGACTTCTGAATGTCCCAATGAATATTTGCAGAGAGCTGCATTAGAAGCTACAGTACTGAGACAGCAACTGAAACTGTGGTTTGCTTCTCTGACTGCTTCTGCAGGGCCGTTGCCAGTCGCTTGGAGACCCAACGACTATGCTCCTTGGCAGCGAATCGGGCAAGAAAGAAGGGCAAGTGATAGGAGGTAGTCATTTGAGCAGGCCTCTTGATAACAAAAACCTTTAATGCCAGAAGGAAGGTTTTTTCAGGAAGGCGCATCTAGCAGAGTGGCACACTTGCACTGAGAGCTCTCTGTTTGATGCTCGATGAAACGCAGGTCCTGGCAGGACCTGCCGATCGCCCTCTGAAGGTTTTTCGCGAACTACGTAGGTCGTGATCAGTGTTAAGCCAACTGCACAGAGTCAGCACTGACAGATTTGTTTCAAGTCGGACAAGTAACACAACGTTTGAGCTGTGCGCAAAGTTTCCGTTTGTTGAATAGCATTCTTTAGCCAATGCTTACAGGTTCCGTATCTCCAGATTGCCGACTTATATAAAATATACAGTAGATAATATATATCATATATATCTACTAAACACGTCCCTTAGGGAACAGAAATTGCATCGTCCAGAGGAGTAAAACCGCATGGCATCACCCAACAGCACTCCCATTCGACCAGCAGCGCCATCATGCAGCTGAGGCCTCTCCATCGCGAGAGGCCAGATAGCGGATAGCTCTTGTTTGTTTCTGGATGTTGAAAAGTCATGTTCTCCTACTACTTGCTGGGTTTGTTAAGCTGCTTTCCTTGTTCAACTATAAAGCAGGGTGACAGAGTTGACACATGCCACAGATGATCCAAGTGTGTTTTTGTCATCAACAGCTGATGGCTGATGACCTTTGATGAGCACAAGAGCAGAGATGTGTAGTTTCCCCCAGAAGCTGAGTGAACTAGCGGATAAATGATTACCGACACTCCTTGCAATGTCCTATTTGTTGTTTTGTTTCATTAGATCTAGAATCTAGGCCCACATACCAAGTTTGTATAACAACTTACTGTTTGTTCCTGAAGTGATCTCGCCCACTTTGGCAAATGACCCCAGTGTTTTTCGCACTGCGTGGAACTGGAACAGGGCAAGCTGCTGTTCCTTGTGGTCATAGGGTAGTCAGGCATGCCCACGCTGTAGAATGAAGTTGCAAAAGTACCACTTGGAATGGTGGTGAGTTATGACTAACCAAAAGGAATGGTGACCACCTAAGGTATGATCGCCTGAACAAAATGCTTTTGTTTTCCGGCATATCCCCGATTGCAACACTCCCTAGGAACCTCCTGAACAAATGCACTGCAACTGTGTTTAAGACGCACCGAGCAGTTGATTACCAAATATAAGTGTGTGTGCGTGTGTGTTCAAGTCAGGTAACTACTGAGCACTTGATGATTTCCTTAGATTTTCTCACTCTCACAAGTTGCTGTTTAAATGCGAATGAAAGACGCGGGACTTCAGCCCTTGGGGAGAGGTTGAACCGTTGATCTCAGCCGTTGCTTGCAGATTTTCCATTGCACGTGTTCCTTCGACCTGCTTGGGCTGCCAGCTTTCTTTGCCAGGCCTTTCTTGTTGAGATGCTGGCAGCCATGGATGTTCACATGCATCAGCTGGGAGATCCGAGCCTGCTAGTGGTCCCGGTATAGTCAATCCGTGTATTTTACCGTGTTTTGTTTCTTCTACAGACTGCCTCAAATTGCGATGAAATCCATGGATATAGGGTATGGATTCCAATGGACAGCAACCAGTGCTATCAGGTACAGTATATTCCAAACTTGCCCTAGGGATCCAAGTACCTTCTCAGAAGTTACCTGGACCCTCCCAACCTACATAACAGTGTCTCCAACCACCTTCTCAGAAGGTACTTGGATCCCTAGGGTGTTTACTCGAAACAAAGTCGCTGGTAAAGAGACGCACATGAAACACATCCAGACAGGATTGGCTGTGCATGCGTTTTCACGTACAGCATCAGTGGGCCAACACCTTTCCAGTCCGGTGGTTGATTGAGGCGACCTGAGAGCCGGAGGAGACATGTCCAAACACTGAAGACTCAAGCGCCGCGTGAAGACTCAAGAGAACAAAACACCAGGTGTTTCTTCTTTCATGGTCGGTACTCGCGCTTTCGCCATTCTCACCTCCCAGCCGGGTGGTTTTTGGAGATTCTGCCGCGCTGGGAGAGTCCACAGCGGTTTGAACCGAGGCATCAGGTTCCGCTTCCCGTTTGTGTCGTTCGTTTGGTTCCCATCAAACCTGAACCGCGAAGCTGAGCAATGCATGGATGGTTTTTCGTCGTTTCGCCACTGAAGGGACGGATGGAGTTTGTGTCAGATGAGCCACCAACCTGTCGGATGAACGACCAACCGATACCAACCGGTCAATGAGCGCAGAACACTGCATCCGTCGCATCCGTTTCTTTCTGAGGCTTCGCGAGATGCAGCAGGCGAGATTGACTATGTTGCAAATAAACTGACATATAGGTGTATAATGGTGTATATATATTTTAAAAGAGTATTAAATAAACATATATATATATGGTATTCCCTCCTGGAATTGTACCAGGCTCGGGCTCGGAAGGACCCTAGAAGATTCCATATCACAACCTGGAATAGATCATGAAACACATCACAATATCATTAGTTAGTATAGAACAATAACGACCTAATGACAATCACGCAGTTTTTTCTCCATAGTTTAGAGTGATCTATTCGCAAAAGTATCCCGAAATCCCTTCCCCTTCCCTGCAACTATAACCTGACATTTTAATTGTACATGCACTTGCACCCATAGTAATAGTGGCAACACATATTCTCCAGAAGTTCTCCACTGTTCCTTCTCATTGCTGAACTCCAACAAAAACGGCACGCTCCGTGCATTTCTCAGACCCAATCCCATTACATCCACCTCCGGGGAGTCTTGACCACATCGGACGCAG